TGAGGTAGGCCAATTATGATACAATTATAAATTATTACTTAAAAGCAAGAAACAAATATATTATGAACAACAGTGGAAAGCATTGGGAGATGCAGCACTTCAAAAGGATTCACGAAAATTTTGGCATCTGGTTGCCCAAGGCACAAATGGGCTGGGCTACTCGTTAGAAGCATCTGTCCAAGGAAAGGATTGGGTGACATATTTTACAGGAATATATGGCCCCTGTCCTGACCCACCCCCACAAGTTTACTACACTCAGTTATCAGAACTGCCAGAATGGCCAGACGTCACGCCCAATCAGATTAAGAGGCTAATCGCAAGCCAGCTAGCTAATAAAGCTCCAGGAGAAGACATGATCCCAATGGAGATCTATAAGATAAGACCTGATTTCTGGTCTCCCATTTTTGCAAAACTGTTTTCATACATTAACAGCTCAGGTCGCATACCTGAAGGGTGGAAGTTGAGTATAATTGCCCCAATATATAAAAAGGGTGATAAGAAAAACCAATTATAGACCCATTAGTTTGTTAGATGTAGCCTCCAAACTATATGCCAGGCTCCTTCTTGGGAGACTAGAAGAATGGGCAGATACAAAAAAGGTGATATCTGAACTCCAGGCAGGTTTCCAAAGAGGGAAATCCACATTGGACCAGTGCTTTGTGATGAACTTTCTGCTATGTAAATACATCCATAATTTGAAGCAAAAATTATATGTTGCTTTTATCGATCCAAAGTCAGCTTTTGATACAGTCCCAAGACATGCATTGTGGCAAAAATTGGAAAAGACAAATATAGACCTCCGTCTATTATTTCTCATCAAAACATTATATACTGACACATCAATACAAATAAAGGTGGATCTGGCTGGCCATCTCACCACTAGAATTAAGACCATTACTGGAGTCAAACAGGGATGCATTTTGGCACCTTTTCTGTTTAATTTTTATTTTAATGACATGGTTAAAGAACTGGAGGGCCTGCAGTTTGCCCCTGTCACAATTCTCGACCAAAAACTCTCAGTTTTAATGTATGCTGATGACCTAGTACTTGTATCTAGAACCCAGGTGGGCCTGAGACGGCTGCTTGCAAAATTAAGTTCATATTGCACGAGGAATGCTTTATCCATGAACTATGATAAGACGCAGGTCATTGTATTTGGGAAGCATTCTAAAAAGCATGTTTGGCACCTGGATGAACACATCATAAACCAAGGTAATGTAATGACAGAATATTATGAAAAATGGAAAGGATTTGCTGTGACAATTAACAACTAGGATACAAAAAAAGGGAGGAGTGAGGAGGTCAAAGAAAGAAGGTAATGACAGTTAAGGATTTGAGAATATTGGATTTGTTTTTAAAATGTTTGTGGCTTATTTTTGTCTTTTGATTGTGTTGTGTTGTTTTTTGATTTTGATTTCTATTAATTTGTATTGTTGGGTTGTGGTTTGTTTTTCTTTTGCTTTTTTCTCTTTCTTTTTCTTTTTTTGTTTTTTTTGTAATTCTAAAATTCTTAATAAATATCTTTAAAAAAACAACACATCATAAACCAAGTAAATACGTTTAAATATCTGGGATTGATTTATTCAGAAACGGCATCTTGGAATACACAGCTATCCAATATTAAATTGCAAGCCTTTAAATCAGCAAAAGCTATTCTGAAATTCGCTGCCTGTAAAGGTGGAAATTTGGTCAACCCAGCTCTATCTGTGTATAAAGCAAAAACAATGGCCCAGATTCTATATGGTGCAGAGGTTTGGAACCCCCACAGAATTATTTTTTAAGAGTTCTTTTAGGTTTACCCAAAGACGTGCAATCTGCCATGGTCAGGTTGGAAACTCGCATGTTGAGCATAGAGAGCCAAATAGATAAAATAATTATCTGTTACTGGTTTAGAGTTCAACAGATGGCTGGGAGTTTGTTAAGAGGGAGATAGTAAAAGCACAACTTCAGGCAATACCAATGAGACGGAAACATGGAAGGTGCCTAAAGAAGCCAGGGTGGCTATCTAAAGAACTTTTAACTGAGTTAAGATTAAAAAGGATGTGTACAAAAAATGGAAAAGGGGGAAACCACCAAAGAGGAATTCAAACAAATAGCCAGCACGTGTAGACACAAAGTCAGAAAAGCTAAAGCACAGAATGAACTCAGGCTTGCTAGAGAGGTTAAAAGCAACAAAAAGGCTTTTATGGGTATGTTCGTAGCAAAAGGAAGAACAAAGAAACAGTGGGGTCACTCAGAGGAGAAGATGGTGAAATGCAAACAGGGGACACAGAAAGGGCTGAACTCCTCAATGCCTTCTTTGCCTCAGTCTTCTCCGATAAAGAAAACAATGCCCGACCTGAAGAATTTGGAGCAAATGATTCAGCAAAGGAAACACAGCCCAGAATAACTAAGGAGATAGTACAAGAATACTTGGCTAGTTTAGATGTATTCAAGTCTCCAGGGCCAGATGAACTGCATCCAAGAGTATTAAAAGAACTGGCAGATGTGATCTCAGAACCACTGGCAGTCATCTTTGAGAATTCCTGGAGAACAGGCGAAGTCCCGGCAGACTGGAGGAGGGCAAATGTTGTCCCTATTTTCAAAAAGAGGAAAAGAGAGGACCCAAATAATTACCGCCCAGTCAGTCTGACATCAATACCAAGGAAGATTCTGGAGCAGATCATTAAGCAAACAGTCTGTGAGCACCTAGAAAGGAATGCTGTGATCACCAATAGTCAGCATGGATTTCTGAAAAATAAGTCATGTCAGACTAACCTGATCTCATTTTTTGACAGAATTACAAGCCTGGTAGATGAAGGGAACGCAGTGGATGTAGCCTACCTTGATTTCAGCAAGGCATTTGACAAGGTGCCCCATGATATTCTTGTAAAGAAGCTGGTAAAATGCGGTCTTGACTATGCTACCACTCAGTGGATTTGTAACTGGCTGACTGGACCGAACCCAAAGGGTGCTCATCAATGGTTCCTCTTCATCCTGGAGAAGAGTGACTAGTGGGGTGCCACAGGGTTCTGTCTTGGGCCTGGTCTTATTCAACATCTTTATCAACGACTTGGATGATGGACTCAAGGGCATCCTGATCAAATTTGCAGATGACACCAAACTGGGAGGGTGGCTAACACCCCAGAGGACAGGATCACACTTCAAAACGACCTTGACAGATTAGAGAACTGGGCCAAAACAAACAAGATGAATTTTAACAGGGAGAAATGTAAAGTATTGCACTTGGGCAAAAAAATGAGAGGCACAAATACAAGATGGGTGACACCTGGCTTGAGAGTAGTACATGTGAAAAGGATCTAGGAGTCTTGGTTGACCACAAACTTGACATGAGCCAACAGTGTGACGCGGCAGCTAAAAAAGCCAATGCAATTCTGGGCTGCATCAATAGGAGTATAGCATCTAGATCAAAGGAAGTAATAGTGCCACTGTATTCTGCTCTGGTCAGACCTCATCTGGAGTACTGTGTCCAGTTCTGGGCACCACAGTTCAAGAAGGACACTGACAAACTGGAACGTCTCCAGAGGAGGGCAACCAAAATGGTCAAAGGCCTGGAAACGATGCCTTATGAGGAACGGCTAAGGGAGCTGGGCATGTTTAGCCTGGAGAAGAGGAGGTTAAGGGGTGATATGATAGCCATGTTCAAATATATAAAAGGATGTCACATAGAGGAGGGAGAAAGGTTGTTTTCTGCTGCTCCAGAGAAGTGGACACGGAGCAATGGATCCAAACTACAAGAAAGAAGATTCCACCTAAACATTAGGAAGAACTTCCTGACAGTAAGAGCTGTTTGACAGTGGAATTTGCTGCCAAGGAGTGTGGTGGAGTCTCCTTCTTTGGAGGTCTTTAAGCAGAGGCTTGACAACCATATGTCAGGAGTGCTCTGATGGTGTTTCCTGCTTGGCAGGGGGTTGGACTCGATGGCCCTTGTGGTCTCTTCCAACTCTATGATTCTATGATTCTATGAGATGGACAACGCTAGGCTACCAAAAAAATGCCTGATTGAGCTCTCGAATGGATTACCCCTTAAAAACTGGGTACATCATGCTGCCCAACTGATGGGCAAATATGACCTCTCAGTGCCTGAGATTAAAGAACTTCCCTTATATTCCCAGAAAAATGTCTTTAAACGGATCATAAGGGCAGTGGCAACTAAAAACGATCTAAACTCTATGTGCACATCTACATGCGCCCCATTGTATTTTAAACTTAGAGAGGCCAATGAACACATATCTTATTTTAATGAATTGACTTTTGCACAACTTTGAAAAGCTTTTACAGAGCTACGACTAAATACAATAAGCTCTGCTTATAGAGATGGGAGACACAGAGGCATACCAAAAAACGAACGTGTTTGCATTAGGGGATGTTCTGAAGTAGAGGACCTTATGCATTATATCTTGCACTGTCCTTTATATAATGATGCAAGAAAAAGATTTTTAGTACCTATAATGACAGGGTCCCCTGGCCAGAACCCCTTTGACATGATTTTATATCTCCTCACAGACACAGATAAGTATGTGACCTGGCGTGTAGCACTTTTTGCAACTGCTGCTAGGAAAATTAGAGCAAATTATATAGCCAAGGTAGCCATTAACTGTAAAGGAGATGAATTTACTTGATCCTATCTATCTACCTCAGGCTATGCTCTATCTTTGTCACCAAACTCTGAGTATAAATTGCACACTGTATTAATTGATATTGTTTTTAACATTAGTGACCATGTGATGATTTTAGCTTATGAATTTTATTGTTTAATGTTTTTATTTGCACATTGGGGTACTTTTATAGCTCTGTTTAGAGTACGTAATGTTTTAATAATATAAATGTTTCAAGTCTTTTTATCAATTCAGTATATTTTCTTTTAATTGTCAAATAATTCTGTGTACATTGTGGCAGCCTTTGGCTATGTGCAATAAAACTGACTGAGACTGAGACATTGGCCTGCTCCAACAGAGAGATGTTAAAAAAGGCCCCTGTAGGAATCCTGAGCTTGGCCATTAAGTCTCCTCAGGTTGTTCTGGACTCACCTGGTTCTTGACTGGGGTGACATAACCTTTGGTGCGCCAGTCAACTTCCTTGGGGGTCTCCAGGCTGGCTGATCCTTGGAACAAGGCAACCTTTTTACCTGGTTGGTCGGCCGAGTCAGAACGGAAGCTGCTGAGCATCTTGTTAAACTCTTCGTCCGTCTGTGGGAGGAAACCATAGTTGCTGTGCTCTTACTTCCAGATTTTCAGAATGCCCACCCCTGCCAAGCTACTCCTGAGGCTGCATCCCAGGGCAAAGCTTTAAGTCACTGGCCAAAACCAGCATCCTCCCTCTCCACTCCCAGCAGCTGGACTGCAACCACTCCCAAGACCTGCGTTCCCCCAAAGAGAATGCTCACAATTGCCAGCTCAGATGGAAGCTGACCAGTTACAAGGGCAATGCAAGAGAGTTCCAGTTACCAAATCGCCCAGGTGGTTCATTGCCAGCTGGAAGCTGTTCCCCTCCTGGTTATGCTGCTCAATCCTCTGCAGGTTCTTCTCCCAGACAGCCCGACGAAATGCCTCTTCCTCCTGCAATGGGAAGCTCAATTATGGATCAGTGGTTCTCAAGCTTTTTTCTCTGGGCCACACAAAAATTTTCTCATGCCACACCGACTTTTTTCTTGGTAAGAAATGTTAGTTTCTGTTTCTCACTGTGCAGCTGCTTGGAGTCACAGGACTATGTTTACATTCCAGGGCTTCCAGACTGTTGGCAGTCTCACGGGAAGGGAGACGGGATGTGACGTTAGTGGTTTCCTGTTTCCTTTGTTCCTTTGTTCCTTTGTTCAGTTGCTCTCTGCTTTCATAGAGAGAGGATGTCTTTTTTGTTCTGCGTAGTTTAGAAATAAAACTCTTTAAAAATGTAGCTCATACGATCTCATCTTTCCCTGCCGGGAACTCTGCTGATTGAAGAATGTGCTTGGAGCCTTATCAAAGGCTTGAGGTCATTAATTGTTTGTCAGAGGCGGTTTCAAAGGCTCGGTCGAACGGAGCTCCCGACATTTTTTGTTTAGGGCCCAGAAGACGGACGGCAGAAGAACGGAATGCAGCTTCTCTTCTCTGCGTGTCAAGAAGATGGTTGAGAGGTATGTGCTCGAGCCCCGGGAAGCCTGCCAGTTCCTAATTGATGGCAATAAGGGGTGGGCTTTGAAGTTTTATCCAAAGCTCTAACAGGCTGCGGCGAGAAAGCAAAAGCCTTATGCAGTGTGCTTTTGGAATGCAGCTGGTAAAGAGACTCAGCCTGCTTTAAAGACACAAGATGGCCAGTCCAAGAGTAACAGAGGCTCTTGAGAATGTGTTTGGAATTCCAAAGGTCAAAAATAATTATTTGGAATGGGTGCAGTATGCAGAGGCTCTGCTACGAAAAGAGGGTCTGTTTAATGTGATATCAGAAGCCCCCCCAGCTCCAATGACCGATGAGTGGAAGGCTAAGGATTCCAAAGCAAGGGGAACTCTGACGCTTATTGTGTCCCCTGAAGAGCTATGTCTTTTGTGAGACAAGGACTCGGCCAAACAGATGTGGGACAGTCTTAAAGATTCACATTTAAGAAAGGAGGCAGGAGCTTCTTTGTTCTTTTATGCCAAGTTGCATGATATGGCACTTGCTGAAGGAGCAGATGTCCGTGCTCACCTCATGGAAATGCAGAATCTCAGGCATGAGTTGCAACAGCATGGAATCACCTTTCCAGAGGCTGTGTATTCCTTCATGATTCTACATTCTTTGGGTTCAAGTTGGGAAGCGATTGCCAGCCAGCTTGCTGTTTTGCCTACTGCTCAGCTAACGGTAGCGCATGTTACTGCTGTGGTGTTAAATGAAGCGGATCGGCGTAGTGCTAGCTGCATCACTAAGGGGGAGTCCTCACAGACGTCATCCCAGAATGCAGTGGAACCACTAGATGGCGCCAAAGCTTTGAAGGCAGTGAAATGCTACTCGTGTGGACGTCTAGGCCACGTGAAAAGGGAGTGCAAACATCCCAAGGCCAAGGCAACAGAGCAGCGCAGCGAAAGCTCAACGCGTGGAAAAGGCAAAGGCAAAGGTCCAAAGTCTAGGACAATGCAACACAAGGCAATGGTCTCACGCTTCACTCCAAAGGTCCAGAAGACGTCTAGATCTTTCTTCATCGTCGACTCGGGAGCGACCAGACACGTCTGCAAAGACAAACAAATGTTTGTGTCCTTTACTCCGCAGGAAGGTGCGATTCACTAAGCGGATGACCACACGATCTCCAGTCAAGGCTACGGAACGGTTGTTCTTCACAGCTTGGATGCATCGATACTTTTGGACTTCTGCCTGTCCAGTAAAAAAAACCCTCCCTCAGACACGAAGCACCAAACTCTATAAGTTAACCCTATAAACACCAAACTCTACACCCCCTCTTGCTTTGTGTCTGAGGGGAAACACATACCCAATGTTAACCCAAACCCAAACCTTTGCAGAACTCTCCATGCCTCTGGAAGGTCAGTGGTTTTGTGAAACCATCAGCGAGGTTCTTAGCTGAGGGACAGTACTTCAGCACAACCAATCCCTCGTGAACACTCTGACACACGTTCTGAAAGCAAATGTCTAGGTGTTTGGTCCTGGCCTTGAATTGCCCCGTCTCGGCCAATTTTAGGCACGGTTGGTTGTCTTTGAAAACCGTGACGGGCAAACTATTCACTCCACAGAGCTCTTGTACCAAACAAGCACAGAACTCTAGCTCTCTGCACGCTTCAGAAAGAGCACTGAACTCAGCCTCAGTGGATGAAAGCGCTATAAGGCTTTGCATTCTGGACCTCCACCCAACTACTGAGTTCCCAAACTTCACCACCAGGCCGGACATGGACTTGCGATCATCCAAGTAAGCCCAATCCGAATCTACCCAACAGGTCAGCTTTACCTCACCCTGAGCTGACAACTTAAGGCAAAAATCTTTGGTATCCTGGAGATACCGTAGCACCCTCTTGATGCCATTCCAGGCTTGCACATTAGGACTTGAAGCTTCTCTGCTGAGCAGATTAATAGTAAAGGCTATATCTGGTCTGCTCCACTGGGACAAATAAAGCAAACTTCCTAGAGCTGATTGAAAGATTTCAGCGTTTTCGAACGCAGAGCGTTCTACTTGCTGGCTGTCTTTCATGTAACCAGCCTCCATAGGGGTCCTGACACCTGCACAATCACTCAAGCTGAACTTTTGAAGCAGTTGCTCAATTTTACCTCTCTGGCTGAGCAAAAAACTTCCATCTTGTGTTCTAAAAACATCCGCACCGAGATAAGTCCGAACAGCACCAAGCTGCTTGAGCTTGAATCTTTTGCCAAGCTCCTTAGCAAACTTCTCTACCTGTGCACCTGTCTGTCCTAGATACAAAAGATCGTCAACAAAGACCTGCACAGCCTCCTGTGTCGCACCTGACCCCTTCAGGTAAAGACAACTATCAGCAACACTTCTCCTGAAACCTAGCTCTTCCAAGGCTTCATTTAGACACATATTGCAATTTCTGGCAGATTGACGCAACCCATAGATGGGTTTGTGTAACCGCCACACAATACCTTGCCCATTGATCTCAAAACCTGGAGGAGGGAGCATGTACAACTCCTCCTGAAGATCTGGGTTCAGGTAGGCAACATCCACATCAAAGTGGTTTACCTCCCAGCCTCTCTGTGCTGTGTTACACTCCGAGAAGTAGGTGAATACACTTCCGTGAAATGAATCCCTTTTCTCTGTGTGAAACCTCTGGCAACAAGTCTCACTTTGTATTGTGGTTCTCCAGCTTCTGTGGGTTTAAGGCGATAAACCCATCTGCAACTCACTGCTTGCTTGCCAGCCGGCAATTTTGTGAGCGAGAATACACCAAGCAACTCCATTGATCTCATCTCTTTCTGCATTGCCTCATGCCATTTGCTGGCTTCTTCCTGAGGCAACTTTTGAACATCCTTGAAGGATTCAGGTTCACATCTAGCCACACCTACCCACACACTTGTGACCTCGAACCTATCAGGTGGCTTGCCCTTGGTTGGCCTTGCTGACCTCCTCAGCATGAACCCTGGTGCCTCCTCTGACCCACTAGGGCTAGCAAGACTATCCTCAGTGTCAGAGACTTCCCCCTCTGACCTGCTGCGCCTTTTGAACCTGACAGCCGGTCCAGCAGGTGAGGAGGGCTCACTCTTTGGCTCAGACTTGACAGTGGTTTGAGGAGGTGTCTTGGGACTCCCCCTCTGAGGGATCCTGAACTGCCCCTGTTGTGGACTCCGTCCCTGTGGCGGATTCTGCTGCTCTGGACTTTGGTCCTCAACAGCAAGTTCCTCTTCCTCCTCCTCACCATCTGAGTCAAAGAACTGCTGTGAAAGCACGTCTGGATTGGCATGCAGACGTGTCCATCCAGCCTGTTCACAGAACTCAGCTGTGCTGGTCCCGGGGGGAGGTTACCGTGTGGCGTGGTCAGAGTTTGGTCCTGGGTCAAGGATCTGGAGAATGTCCACCAAGGGTGAAGCGGGGTCCAAAGCGTGAAGCCGGGCGTGGTCGGGAACTCTGGAAGAACAGGGCTGGGTGCTGGCAGAAACAGGTTTCCAACGACGTTGCTCCTGCAACCTGGGACTGGGCTGATTGGCCTTTATTTCCTCTGAGGCCAGGGGCGGTCCCGGCCCACAGGTGACCCGCCTCTCCTGGCCTTAAGGCGAGCACTCCTCCTCAGAGAACTTAGTTCCCTCCGCCTCTCTGCCCTGAGCCTCTGCAGCTCAGGAGAGGCTGGAGGGTTATTGGACCCAGGAGCAGCTTCACTGACTGGGCTGGGAGAGGCACACCTGCAGGCAATGGGCCCTCAATCACCTCCGGAGCCAGAGTGGATACATCTGGTGTCTGCTCCTGAGGACCCGGCACAGGTGCAGGCCCTTCAGATTCAAGCCCCTGCCCCGGCTCAGCCGGCCCTGGAGGCAGGGACTCCTGTGCAGGCTGGAACTCCTCAGGTTCAGCTTCTGAATCAGACTCCCAGGCCATCACATCAGCACTGTTGCTGATTACCAGTCTGGACTGGTTCCCACTCGGGTATGCAAACCTCCAAGCCTTTGAGCCAGGCTCATGTCAGTATATGGAAACATCGCAGCTGCAAACAGCCAGATTGTTGACATCACATGATGCGCCTATCTGTGGGAAAGAAGAATTTCCCAGGAAGTTCACAGGCTGGAAAAGTCTCTGTGAAGAGTGTAATTTGAAACCTTCCGTTTGCTTGTGTACAGGAAGTTTGTCAGACGTGCTGGAAGAACTGAACTGAAAGGACATGTTTTTCTGTAGTGCTGTAATGTCAGAAATAAACATCATGTAAATAGATTTCTGACTACTTTTCTTTCCCCTGCGGAAGCAGGAGGAGGGGTGTGCATTTTACCCACGCTTGGGAAAATGTCGCCTATCAAAATCTCCCTGGTCTGTCTGGATATCAGCCAGAGGAGGTTACCGGTAAGCAAGCTCCGAAATCTGTGAGGGGGCCATCCTCTGTGGAGGGGGCTTGCAAACCGACAAATGGTAGCAGAGCCCGATGGTTGCCACAACAAGCTGAAGCACCAGGTGGGAGACTTTTTTTTGCTGATAAGCACCGATCCACGTATCTCTGCGATGCTGATTTATGGCTGGATGGTGAACGCGAATTTAAAAGTCTTCGGTTCACTGAGAAAAAGGCTCCTGTTTTGGATAAAACAGAGCGGAGAAGCAGCAACATACTTCACATTCCAGAGCTGATAAGAGCTGCCGTTGCTTGGAGACGGAATCGTGAGTACTTTTTGAGCTAAAATTTATGAGCTGGTTACCTTAAAGAGCAAAGAGAGAAAAGAAGCTTCAAAAGCGAAAGCAAGGCTGGGTTTTTCAGCGACGCTTGTTGTAAACAAACTGTTGGAAAGGGACTTTCCAAGTAGAGCGCAGCTTGCTGATTGCTGTTGGATTGCAGCGGAAGGCTTATTGTTTACAGATTCTCGGAAGGGAAAATTCCAGGCAGCTGGGCTGACTGCCAGGTGCAAAGCAGCTAGTAAACAGGATATAGACTTTTGGATTTTCCAGCCAGTGTGGTCTAGTGGTTGAGAGCGGTAGTCTTGTAATCTGGGGAACCGGGTTCGCGTCTCCGCTCCTCCACATGCAGCTGCTGGGTGACCTTGGGCCAGTCACACTTCCTTGAAGTCTCTCAGCCCCACTCACCTCATAGAGTGTTTGTTGTGGGGGAGGAAGGGAAAGGAGAATGTTAGCCGCTTTGAGACTCCTTAAAGGGAGTGAAAGGCGGGATATCAAATCCAAACTCTTCTTCTTCTTCTTCTTGTAGCTGAAGCTGCAGCTTGGGATTAAAGATGGCTCTGTTCTCTCAGAAACTGAATAGCCAAAACTGGCTAGAATGGTCATTTGAAATGGAATTCATGCTGGTGGGAGAGCAATTATGGGACTTAGTCCAGACCCCAGAGCCTGTTGCTGTACAATCACAGGGGAAGAAGGCGGCAATTCAAAGTGATTTGAAGCAGTGTGTGATCAGAATTTTGGCAGAAAATGTGGACACTTATCTTGAGCCAGTCCTAAAGGGTGCAGAAGAACCAAGGGTCGCTTGGGAGTCACTCCGGAAAGCTTGTGAAGCTGGGGTGGGAAGCAAGGACCGAGAATTGGTTGCACCAAAGGGGGAGAGCCAAGATGAAGCTAGCCAAATTCTTGAGAGCTCATCGAAAGCTGGGAGGAGCTTTGAGCCACAAAAGGGAAGAGAAGGGACTGTTGCTACTGATGCTGTTGATGATCCTGTTTTTGCTGCAATGGCTGTTGCTGATGGGGGGAGTGAAGCTCAGAAATCAAGCACCCCCACTACAATTGCTACAGAGGAGAAAGCTGTAGCTCAGAACGCTGTTCGTCAGGAGACACCATGTCAGGAGAAAGGAGCTAGAGGGAGCTCTGTAAAGCCTGAGGCGTCAAACAAAGGTCATACCCAGTCCCAGGCAAAACCAGATATGGCTTTGATGTCACTAAAAGCCACATCATCAGTGGAAAACGCTTTTGTTATCGACACAGGATGCACGCAACACATGGCATCCCGCCGAGACCTGTTTTCTACGTTTGAGAAGCAACGCTTCACTGTGAAACTGGCCAACGGTCAGGAAATGGAAGCAACTGGGATCGGAACTGTGTATCTAGAAAGCCTGAACTTGACTATAAACAATGTTTATTTTGTTCCTGATTTAAAGTACAATTTGCTGAGTGTTTCTCAAATCTCTAAGAAGAAACTGGTGTTATCCTATGATGAGGAAAGTTGCAAAATCTACAAAGATGGAGAGCTGTAGCTTTCTGCAAGAGAGAAAGATGGACTGTATCTGTTAACTTTTGATAAAAATGATTATAAAATGTGCACAGCATGTGAATCTAAAATGCTTTCTCTTGCAGGTATCTCGAAAGAAGACTCGAGAGGAAAGGCAACAAAGATTAACAGAGTTTTTCAGCGAGTGTATGCTGATGTAATTGGTCCTTTAGCACCATCTAGAGGTAATGCAAAATACTATCTTGTATTTGTTGATCATTTTTCTCAATATGTATGGATATACATTTTGCAGAATCCCAGAGAAACCTTAGAAAGGTTTAAGGAGTTTTGTGATAAGGTTAAGAGTGTTCATAATGCTAATATTGATTTTCTTTTCCCAGATGAGAAGCCAATTTTTCTTTCACAGGATTTTCAGGATTTCCTTGAGAAGCAAGGGATAGAGCACAAGGTTGCTGTTTCTGAAGCTGCAGGGAACAAAACTGTTTATGTAAAAGTGAACAAACAGTTGCAGAATGGCATGAAGGCACAACTGCTGAGTTCACACTTGCCACATGAGTTTTGGGCTGAGTCTTTACCTTGTTTTTGTTACACTTGGGTGAGAAAGGTTTCAAAGGGTATGGAATGTTCTCCTTTTGAGAGGCTGTTCCAAAGAAAACCTTCTGTCACACATTTTAAGGTTTTTGGGTCTCAAATCAGGACTGAAACTCCAGATGGGGTGGCGAATGCCAGAGGCATTTTTGTGGGTTATGAAAAGGGTCTCTACAGAGTAATTTTGACTGAATCTGGTCAGGTGATTCTCACAAAATTTCTAGAAAGTGCTCCTGGACAGGAGAGAGTAATTTTTCACACATTTCCCACTGATGACAATTCAGATGATGATTTTGATTTTTCTGATTATAGTGGTACTGAAAGTGACACAGAAAGCTCAGAGAGTTCTGTTGACACAGTCATTGAGAAAGGTTCACACACAGAAGCTAGACCTTCACAAGTGAAGGATGAACCACTGTTTACTATTGGAACTGGTTCTCCAAAGAGTCCTGAGACTGAACCAGTCAGCAAGGAGGATCAGCACCTCATACGCAGGTCTGAGAGAATCACAAAGGGCGTACCACCCAAGAGGTATTCTCAAGAGTTTGCTAGTTCAGCTGTTGCATGTATTGCTATTGTTGACAACTCAAGCCAGGTTAAGGGTATGTCTATTTTTTTTTTTTGAAATAATATTTATTAAGGTTTCAAAAACAGAAGATTACATAGATAAAAAGAAAAGAAACAAAAGAAAAAAGAAAAAAAGAAAAAATACAAAATACAAAATACAGAAAAAAGATAAAAAAACTTAAAAACAAATCAATCTTTCCGTACCTTACATTTCATTTCCTTGTTTCCCTGACCTCCTCTCACCTCCCTTTTTTGTATTTTAGTTCAATTGGTTAATTCAGCAATTTCTTTCCCTCTTTGTTTTTGTCTTAATCCTTTAACTTAATATATTATAGCTTTGGATTCTCACCTATTAACAATCTATTTTTACATACACCTTTATAACATTGCTGCTAAAACCACTTAACTTCATTCTGACATCATTCTAACATTCATTAATTTTGCAGTATTTCTGTAAATAGTCTTTAAATTTCTTCCAATCTTCTTCCACCGACTCTTCTCCCTGGTCTCGGATTCTGCCAGTCATTTCCGCCAATTCCATATAGTCCATCACCTTCATCTGCCATTCTTCCAGAGTGGGTAAATCTTGTGTCTTCCAATATTTTGCAATAAGTATTCTTGCTGCTGTTGTGGCATACATAAAGAAAGTTCTGTCCTTCTTTGGCACCAATTGGCCGACTATGCCCAGAAGGAAGGCCTCTGGTTTCTTCAAGAAGGTATATTTAAATACCTTTTTCAATTCATTATAAATCATCTCCCAGAAAGCCTTAATCCTTGGGCATGTCCACCAAAGGTGAAAGAATGTACCTTCAGTTTCTTTACATTTCCAACATTTGTTATCGGGCAAATGATAGATTTTTGCAAGCTTGACTGGTGTCATGTACCACCTGTATATCATTTTCATAATATTCTCTCTTAAGGCATTACATGCCGTAAACTTCATACCTGTGGTCCGGTTAAGGGTATGTCTAAGTCAGAGACAAAGACACAACAGGGAGTTGCTAAGCGTAACACTACATTTCCTAGCTAACGTAATGCAGATGCACTCATTCCTTGGAAAACAGACAACCAGAGAGTTTCATTGGTGAAACCAGTGGCGGGTAGTTCCAAGGGTGGAACTGAAACAACAGGGGATTGTTATATGTATAACAACTGTTTGTTTTCTTCTCTGGATCAAGCTTTGTCCGCAGCTAACGATGATTCATATGGGGGAGGATGTCAGTATATGGAAACATCGCAGCTGCAAACAGCCAGATTGTTGACATCACATGATGCGCCTATCTGTGGGAAAGAAGAATTTCCCAGGAAGTTCACAGGCTGGAAAAGTCTCTGTGAAGAGTGTAATTTGAAACCTTCCGTTTGCTTGTGTACAGGAAGTTTGTCAGACGTGCTGGAAGAACTGAACTGAAAGGACATGTTTTTCTGTAGTGCTGTAATGTCAGAAATAAACATCATGTAAATAGATTTCTGACTACTTTTCTTTCCCCTGCGGAAGCAGGAGGAGGGGTGTGCATTTTACCCACGCTTGGGAAAATGTCACCTATCAAAATCTCCCTGGTCTGTCTGGATATCAGCCAGAGGAGGTTACCGGTAAGCAAGCTCCGAAATCTGTGAGAGGGGCCAGCCTCTGTGGAGGGGGCTTACAAACCGACAGCTCATACCCCACAAAGATCATTTTCTTAGACCTTGGCTCTGTCAGTTTGACCAGCTCCGGCCCATCTGGAACTGGTACAGGCTCGTCTTATCTTGAGCCCAAGCAGAGTAGTCCAGCAGCAAAAGGATAAGCAGGTAAATGTGCTACATTGCTAAAGTTTATTTACACTCTATGCTGAGAGGATACAAACATGCATCCTTCCTCTGTGAGAGCAGAGAAGCAACTTCCTCTCGACACAAAGAAAGCTGAGAGAAACACTGAAAAACAGGAAACCAGTGTACGTCATATCCAGTCTCCCATTCCCGTGGGAACCCAACAGTAACTCTGACTGTGGAATGTAAACATTTGTCTTGTGACAAGCATTTGCTGCTCAGTGAGGAAATAGAAACCAACATCCTCCCCCTTTCTGTGAACATCACTGGGCAGCATGTTCGTACAATCTCAGTACAAACCCAACTTCTGCACATAGGTACAGTGTTGATCCCTTGATACAACCTTGGACAATACATCAGCAGGAATTTCATTACCTGGCATATAGGACACCGTTACGAGTCCCTTCTGAACACATTCCCTAGCATGTTGCAACTTCAATTGTAAGTGTTTCGTGTTTTGCTTACAACCTTCAGAATTCAGCAAAGCCAAACATGCTTTGTTGTCTTGATAAACCTGGATTGGACATTTGACAGGAATTTTCATGTCTTTGCACAATTGTAACAACCATTCACAATCCTTAAGTGAATAAGACAGTGCATTCAGTTCAGCTTCACAAGTACTTAAGCTAACTGTTGTTTGCTTCTTGCATGACCAATCAAATAGACCCTGATTGTACATGTAGCAAACTCCAGACGTACTTTTCCTGTCTGTAGTGTCACTTCCAAAACTTGCATCTGCAAATATCTCAAGACCACCTGACTTCTGATTGTTAAATCTCAGTCTGTAATGCATAGTGCCTTTCAAATAGCGAGCTATGTGTTTCAGAGCTTTCCAATCCTTAACAGTAGGATTGTTGACTTGTCTGCTTAGCAAATTACAGCTGACAGCAATGTCAGGTCTTGAACATCTGGTAATGAAGTTCAGTTTACCTAGCACACTTCTGTACAGTGTAGTGTCAGAAAATGCTTCTTCAGTGTCATGTACCTGATAACCTGTTGTCATCGGTGTTTCTACAGGGTTAGCATGCATCAGGTTTAGTTTGCTTAACACATCAGCAATTTTCCGTGACTGGTGTACTAGAATGTTACCATCTTGATCTCTCTCTATTTCCAGAGATAGGTAGTTGTTTACCTCACCAAGATCTTTCATGTCAAAGTGCTCTTTCAGTTGAGCTAGGGTGTTATTGTACATTGTGACATCCTTCCAAAAGAACAAAATATCGTTAACATAAAACAAGCAATACAGCTTCTTTTGCCCCTCCCCTTTGACAAATACACATGGATCAGCTTTCCCTTGCTGAAAACCTAGAGAAAACAATACTTCAGTAAGTTTAGTGTGCCAGCACCGTGCACTTTGTTTGAGACCATAAAGGGACTTCTTCAGAGCACAAACAAATCCCTGTTTTACCTGTACGCCATCAGGTGGAAGCATATAAAGAGATTCACCTAGAGATCCGTACAAAAACACTGTATTCACGTCGTGGTGACTAACATGTAGATTCTCTTCTGCAGCAAGCTTGAGCATAAGCCTAATGCTCTCATACCTCACGGTGGGTGAGTAGGTCTCATGATAGTCTTCACCTGGTACCTGTGAAAAACCTCTGGCTACCAATCTGGCTTTGTGTCTTTATTGTGTCTTTATTTGAGGACCCAAATAATTACCGCCCAGTCAGTCTGACATCAATACCAGGGAAGATTCTGGAGCAGATCATTAAGCAAACAGTCTGTGAGCACCTAGAAAGGAATGCTGTGATCACCAATAGTCAGCATGGATTTCTGAAAAATAAGTCATGTCAGACTAACCTGATCTTGTTTTTTGACAGAATTACAAGCCTGGTAGATGAAGGGAAAGCAGTGGATGTAGCCTACCTTGATTTCAGCAAGGCATTTGACAAGGTGCCCCATGATATTCTTGTAAAGAAGCTGGTAAAATGCGGTCTTGACTATGCTACCACTCAGTGGATTTGTAACTGGCTGACTGACCGAACCCAAAGGGTGCTCATCAATGGTTCCTCTTCATCCTGGAGAAGAGTGACTAGTGGGGTGCCACAGGGTTCTGTCTTGGGCCCGGTCTTATTCAACATCTTTATCAACGACTTGGATGATGGACTCAAGGGCATCCTGGTCAAATTTGCAGATGACACCAAACTGGGAGGGGTGGCTAACACCCCAGAGGACAGGATCACACTTCAAAACAACCTTGACAGATTAGAGAACTGGGCCAAAACAAATAAGATGATTTTTAACAGGGAGAAATGTAAAGTATTGCACTTGGGCAAAAAAAATGAGAGGCACAAATACAAGATGGGTGACACCTGGCTTGAGAGCAGTACATGTGAAAAGGATCTAGGAGTCTTGGTTGACCACAAACTTGACATGAGCCAACAGTGTGACGCGGCAGCTAAAAAAGCCAATGCAATTCTGGGCTGCATCAATAGTAGTATAGCATCTAGATCAAGGGAAGTAATAGTGCCACTGTATTCTGCTCTGGTCAGACCTCACCTGGAGTACTGTGTCCAGTTCTGGGCACCACAGTTCAAGAAGGACACTGACAAACTGGAACGTGTCCAGAGGACTACTCTATGCTGAGAGAATACAAACATGCATCCTGCCTCTGTGAGAGCAGAGAAGCAACTCCCTCTCGACACAAAGAAAGCCGAGAGAAACACTGAAAAACAGGGGACTTCCGGGTTACCGCCTCCGGCAATGGCGGATTTCCTCTGACCAGGAGGAATCCGCTTCGTGAGAACCAGGGTCTGGACCGCCGCGGCAAGGCGGAGACCCACTAAAAACCACAGGCGGGAGAAGCCTGTGGACGTGGGATTCGGCTGGCACCTTTTGCGCCTCCCCTACTCGCGGGGAACCCGGTTTTGGGGATCCGGAGCGACGTGGGGTGAATGGCGCGGTGCTTCGAATCGACTGCTCTTTTCACGGAGTGAAGCCGCATTGCTGTTGCCGGAGAGCGCTGACTTTTTCCTGTGGACAATTGGATTTTAAACAACTGCCCGTGAGTAGAACGGAAAATTGGATTATGAAACTTTTTAATTTGGCACTGAAGCGGGAAGGTCTAAACAGGAAGTCCACCTTCCGCTTTTGTAAATAGATTGAAGCAAAGACATTACAAGCTAGAGTCTGGAAAGTCGTTTGTAAAGGACTAAATTTCCATCAGCTAAAATTACTAAACCCCCCTTGGAAGCAGGAGAAGAGGGGGGGTCTTTTTAGACTGTTTAAACCTGCAGAAGAGAGAGAGTAAAGAAAGATAAATTTCCACCGTCTTGATTCTGGGAGCAGGGTGTCAGAGACAGACACTTTGGGGAAGTTCATTGACTGTGGATAAAACGTTTTTGACAGATAGTTAAAAAAGAGAAACATATTGATTCCAATGTTCCCTTTTGCACTTAAAAGAAACAAAATATCTGGAAAACGAAAGGAACTTTGTTGCTAGATCTGCTTTTAAAAAGACGGATACAAATAGAAATTGTTTCCTCTAGAGGGAGCTTGTGAAACTGTTGCTGGAGTCGATCTGGGGAATTCTACAGCTGTAGAGATAAAAGATCGTGGGAATTAGACACCGACCTTGAACAAGAATGTGCCCAGAAGAAGCTTTAGTGCTTGCTTTTTGCAAGACAAGTGCTTTACTGGAACAGCTACATGAGAAGATGGATTTGATGACTGTTGCAGTTGGAAATTTTGGACAAACAGTGAATACTTATATAGAAACCACTCAGGAATTAACCCAGGAATGTGCTTTGACAGAGCAAGTGGTGAAGAAGATAAAGGAGGAGGTAGTTGCTGAACCTCAAGTACCAGAAATGGAGAGAGCTGCGGCCTTGCAGGAACATAAGTTGCTGTTTTTGACGACTGAATCTGGAGAAAGTCAGATTTGGAGAGATGGAGTACTGTTTGGTCTGGAGATGGGAAGTTGGATAGATCCCCCTATGCAGGGATGTTTTGACTTTTCGGATCTGGCTTTGGGCCAGGGGGAGTTTGGAGTTGTGGGGGCCCTTAACCTTGGAGGAACTTTGAAACATGCCTTCAAATATCTTTTGGATTTCAGTGTCGACTATGGAGAATGGGCTGACTTGTTGAGAAGGGATAAAGATATTGTCAAGTTGGAGTCTCCCCGAGAGAAAGGAAGGAAATTAAGAATAAGATCAGCAGAAGATAAAGTAAAGTGCAGGTATAAACACGAAGAAGACCTGCAGAAGGGACATGGAAAAGACTTAAGAGCCTCGGATAGAAGGTCACCAGGTTGATGGACTAGATGGATGGGACAGAAAGGACTGACAAAACCCGAGACCAGGAAGAAGAGACGACGGATGAAGATTGGAAGAAAATTTTAAATATTCACCTAGAAAATCATTGTAAAATTAATGAGCATTAGAAAAATGTTGGAATGAAACTATTTGGCTTTAGTAGAAATGTTAAAAAGAATTATGTATAAATATGTTTTGTTAAAAAGAATTAGGTATAAATAAGATTTAAGTTTTAAGCTTTAGGGTTTTTTATGGTAAGATAAGGTTAAAATAGATTAAGGTAATTTAATGACAGAATATTGTGAAAGATGAAAAGGATTTGCTGAGATAATTAATAACTAGAATACAAAAAAGGGAGGTGTGAGGAGGTCAATGAAACAAGCAAATGAAAGATAAAGATTTGGGAATATTGGATTTGCTTTTAAATTTTTTGTTTATTTTTGTTTTTTGATTCTGATGTATTGTGTGTTTTGTTTTTGTTTTTTTGACTTTTGTTTTTATTGACTTATATTGTTTAATCTTTCTTTTTGTCTACCTTTTTTCCTTTTCTTTTTTCTTGTTTTTTCCTTTCTCTTTCTGTAATTTTAAATTCTCAATAAATATCTTTAAAAAAAAAAAAAAAAAGAAACACGGAAATACAGGAAACCAGTGTACGTCATATCCAGTCTCCCATTCCCGTGGGAACCCAACAGTAACTCTGACTGTGGAATGTAAACATTTGTCTTGTGACAAGCATTTGCTGCTCAGTGAGGAAATGGAAACCAACAGGCTCACCCTTCCTGTGCAGAGCCTTTGGAATGTGGACCCAGGCCTCACAACCAAACACACGGAGGTAATGCACCTTGGGCTTCCTACCGTGCAGCAGGAAATAGGGTGTGTTCCCTACACTTGAATTGTACACTCTGTTCTGTGTAAAAACAGAAAAACGCCAGGCTTTGGCCCAAAAACGCTGCGGTAGCCCTGCATCAAAAATAATGGTGGACACTGCTTCCTGCAAAGTCCTATTTTTCCTTTCCGCAATTCCATTCTGTGTGGACTATGGGGCGCGGTCAACCTATGGCTGATTCCCTTCTGTCGGAAGAAATTCTGCAACGCAGACCCAGTGAACTCCGCCCCCCTGTCACTTTGAAAACTTTTCACCTTGGTGGAGAAGGTTACCTCTACTGCTGTGATCCAATCTTTGATCAACCCAGCAGCCTCTCCCTTGTTTTTTAAAGAAAAAACCCAAGCCGATCTCGAGAAGTCATCGACCAGAAGAAGAACAAACTTTGAGCCCCCCAGGGACTCTACAGACATTGGACCACACAAATCTGCATGAACCAATTCAAAAGGACTAGTGGTCTTCCTTTCTGACTTGGGATAAGAGCATGTGACAACCTTAGATTGTTTGCAGGCTCTACAATCCAGGAATTTATCACAAGCCTTAAATTTACACCCTTCTGTTAATTCAGGGGCTTTTTTAACATAACTCCAACCCAGATGCCCAAATCTTCTGTGCCAGAGATGAGCACAACCACTATGTGGTGCTACATTCACACATTGCACCCTTGCTTCCTCAGTGGCATCATCAGTAACAACTGGCATCTGTACAGTAAATAATCTGTCCCTGCATTCCACAGTATACAGCTCCTTGCCATCCCTGGAAAAAGAACACACGTTATTTACAAAAGATATACAGAAGCCATCTGCTACTAAAGCAGATACACTTAACAGGCAATTTGCTATCTCAGGAACAACATAGGCCTGAACTTCATGATCAAGAAAAGAACAATAAAGCATCCCAGTCTGTGTGAGTGGCCGTTTACTCCCATCTGCTAGGGAGACATAGCGACCAGTTTTTACTTCCTTGCAGTTTCGAAGAAGGCCAGAAAAGGGAACGAGGCAATGCGTCACTCCACTGTCAATCACAATGGAGACAGTGTCTTATCGCTGAGCTTCCTCAAGAATTGCCATAGCAACGCTCTCCCCTCAATTGTCCCCCTGGCTGGGGCCTTTGCAGGTGTCCTGCACGGTTGCCACAGCAACACTCTCCCCCCGACTGGGGGCTCTGCCAATGTCCTTCACAGCTACCGTAGCTGCAGCAAGATGAAAGAACGATGACTTGTCTCTGTTCTCTGCACCTCCTGTGCCTTTTGAAGCTTTCCCACGTCTCTGCTGCTGAGAACCGTCTCTTATCAGCTCTTTCTGCAGCTGTGCGACCTTGGAGCTTTTTGCAGAACAAGGCTTCCCACGGTCTGCCTTCGACTCTTTGCAAAAACAACTCTCGGAGACTTTTGGAGACAAAGGCTTTCCAGAGCTTTCACTGCTGACTGCCCCCCCCCCCACCACTGCTGGGAGCAGAACTTCTGCCTGCACCCTCTCTGCTGAGTGCAGGGCTTCCAGAGAAACAGCCTGCCACTGCTTTCCTCACAACTCTCGGCCTCTCTCCCAGTACATCACACAGATGCATTGAAGTATTGCCACAGCTTCCATCAGGAACAAGCACAGACACAGTCCCTTCTGCCCTCACTGGGCTCAATGGGCTCTCCAGGCTCACTGCCCTCTGTGGGCTCTTTCCAGCCCCCACTAGGCTCACTGAACTCACTGGACTCTCAGGGCACGAGTTTGCCCCCTCTGGTGTCACTTCAGCCCTCTCTTGGCCCTTGCCTTTCACTCCGGCCTCACATGCCTTTCGGAGGGATTCCCAAGCAGCTCTTGGCTCTTTGACACGCTCCACAAGTGGCAAAAGACAAGCCTCAACACTTGCTTTGAAAATGCCCAGCACACGCTGCTCCTCCTCTTGAGCTGCAGCCATCTTTGCCTCAGCCTTCCCACCAGCTTCAGGCATTGGGGGGTGCACACACTGCCACAGCTGTTCCCCCAGCAAGAAGAACTTCATGCGAACAGACCACTCACTCCAATTAGTCCCACTTAGGCTCTCAAAGGGAACATGACACATCTGGGGCTGAGCCATATCTTCCCTCCCTTCTGTGACTTGAGTACTTACTCAGTCTGCCAACTGGGTTTCCGAAGAAGGCTCTGCTCCCCTCTCTTCACCAGCGACCTCAGAAACTGTCTTTGCTTCCCGGCAGGAGATCCAGCTGGCAGACGTCTCTCTGCACTCCCTTCTCATCGCTTAGCAACCAAAACGTCAACTTTCCATAACCTTTTGGACTTCTGCCTGTCCAGTACGCTTCCCTGCGCCAAAAAACACTGCTTTCCCTCTCAGTGCAATCTTCTGGGAAAACACTTCAGCTGAGGCAGAAGTAGTAGCAGAGATGCAGCGGCGTTGCTGTTGTGGGAGAATAGGGAGTGAAACAGTCCAGAGACAGAATCTTCTAATCTAGAAGCTTTATTATTTACAAGCAGTAAATTGTTCCGTCCGAGCTTTCACACATCTTTCTTCTCATAGTTCAAACACACTCCGACTCAGCTCTGACTGAAAACGAAACTAGAATCACAGAACAAAGAAACTGGGACGTGACATCCTGGCTGACTTCTTATAGAAAAAACCCTCCCTCAGACACGAAGCACCAAACTCTATAAGTTAACCCTGTAATCACCAAACTCTACAGATACGCAACGTTCTTTTTGTTCCAGATGCTGCACATAACCTACTGAGTGTCTCGCAGCTGACTGAACAGGACATAGACGTTTCCTTCAAGAAGAGGAAGTGCACCATCACCAAGAAAGATGACTTTGTATTGCATGCTGATTATGTTGATCGTTTGTTTGTATTGCATTATGATGATTCTGTTGATGTTGTGCAGGATGAAACTTCTTGTATTGCAGATACTAACAAGGTTTTGCATGCAGGATGTATTCATGATTATCACAGGAAATTTGGTCATTTAAACTTCGAGGCAGTTTCCAAAATGCCTGCTTTAGTTGAACCCTGCAGGTACCACATGAAGTGTAAGGCATGTGCAGCAAACAAGGTCAAAATGGCTGCAAAAGGTAAGGTGTCTAGTAGACAAGCTACAGAACCATACCAGGTAGTGCATGCTGATCTCGTTGGTCCTCTAACACCCTCTTTGGGTGGAGCCAGGTACTTCATGGTCCTCATTGATTTATTTTCCAGGTATATTCATGTGTTCAATCTCAAGCAGAAATCAGAAGTGTTTCCTAGGTTCAAGAAATTTTGTGCTTGGTTGAAAAATGTGCATGACAAACAGGTGAAATGTTTGTTTACAGATCGAGGGGGAGAATTCACTTCTCAGCAGTTTGAAGCTTTTCTGACTGGGAAAGAAATTCAACATGATCTGTCTAGTCCTCTTTCGCCATGGCAGAATGGACTTTGTGAAAGGGCAAGCCAAACATTGCTTCAAGGCTTGAAAACCTTGCTGCATGATGCCAATCTTCCAGAGAGTTATTGGGCAGAATCGCTCAGCTGTTTTGTTTACACTTATAATTGCAGATTATCATCACCGATTGGTTGTACCCCCTATGAAAAGATGTTTGGCAAGAAACCATTCATCAAGCACATGAGAATTTTTGGTTCTGTCATGTGGGTTCACACACCACAAAGCTCCAAGTTAGGCAAACGTGGTTTGCATGCTATCTTTCTAGGATATCAGAAAGGTTATTACAGAGTAATTACGACTGACTCTAAGACAATTAGGCTCACTAGAAGTGTTGAGTATAATGCCAAGTGGGGGGAGAATGTGGGAATTTTCCAATGTTATCCTGAAGAATCTGAGGATAAACAGCAGCAAAACTCCACACCCACTGATGAAGGTTCTGATTCTGAATCTGAAATTGAAACAGATGGTTCAGAGGATTTCAAGAGTGCCAAGGCCTCTATGTGACCCTCTGAAGGCTCTGATCGAGAATTGGAGGAACCACTGTTCATTATAGGCCACTTTTCTCCTAAGAAAGAAGAGGAGAGTGTTGAAGACCTACGTCTGATTCGCAGGTCTGAAAGAGCCACAAAAGGCAGACCTCCAAAGAGATTTGCTAATGAATTTGCTAAAGCAGCAAAAGCTGTAACTGCTGTTAATAGCCCCAAGAAGGTATCTGAACCTTCAAGTTTCCAAGAGATCCAGGCTTTGGACTCGAAGGATGCTGAGCCATGGTTAAATGCCATGAAGGCTGAGCTTGATTCCTTAGAGAGGAACAAAACATGGGAGCTAGTTCCAGTAGTCCCAGGAATGAGGCTGGTTAGCAGCAAATGGGTATTCAAAGCAAAGACAGATCAAAATGGCAAGATAGTCAGACACAAAGCCAGATTGGTAGCCAGAGGTTTTTCACAGGTACCAGGAGAAGACTATCACGAGACCTACTCACCCACCGTGAGGTATGAGAGCATTAGGCATATGTTCAAATTTGCTGCAAAAGAGAATCTACACGTTTCTCATCACGATGTGAATACAGCATTTTTGTACGGAACCTTAGGTGAATTACTTTATATGCTTCCACCTGATGGCATACAGGTAAAACAAGGATTTGTTTGTTCTCTGAAGAAGTCCCTATATGGTCTCAAACAAAGTGCACGATGCTGGCAGTCTAAACTCACTGAAGTGTTATTTTCTCTAGGTTTTCAGCAAGGTAAAGCTGATCCTTATGTAGTTGTCAAAGAGGAAGGGCAAAATAAGGTGTATTGCTTGTTTTATGTTGATGATATTCTTTTCTTTTGGAAGGATGTCAAAATGTACAATAGTGCCCTAGCTCAACTGAAGGAGTACTTTGACATGAAAGATCTTGGTGAGGTAACCAACTACCTATCTCTGGAAATAAAGAGAGACCAAGATGGTAATATTCTAGTACACCAGTTACAGAAAATTGCTGATGTGTTAAGCAAACTAAACCTGATGGATGCTAACCCTGTAGACACACCGATGACAACAGGTTATCAGCTAGATGACACTGAAGGAGCATTTTCTGACACTACACTGTACAGAAGTGTGCTAGGCAAACTAAACTTCATTGCCAGATGTTCAAGACCTGACATTGCAGTTAGCTGTAATTTGCTAAGCAGACAAGTCAACAATCCTACGGTTAAGGATTGGAAAGCTCTGAAATGCATAGCGCGCTATTTGAAAGGCACTATGCATTACAGACTGAGATTTAACAATCAGAAGTCTGGAGGTCTTGAGATATTTGCTGATGCGAGTTTTGGAAGTGACACTACAGACAGGAAAAGCACGTCTGGAGTTTGCTACATGTGCAATCAGGGTCTATTTGATTGGTCGTGCAAGAAGCAAACAACAGTTAGCTTAAGTACTTGTGAAGCTGAACTGAATGCACTGTCTTATTCACTTGTGGATTGTGAATGGTTGTTACAGTTGTGCAAAGACATGAGAATTCCTGTCAAATGTCCAATCCAGGTTTATCAGGACAACAAAGCATGTTTGGCTTTGCTGACATCTGAAGGTTGTAAGCAAAGCACGAAGCACTTGCAATTGAAGCTGCAACATGCTAGAGAATGTGTGCAGAAAGGACTCGTAACAGTGTCCTACATGCCAGGTAATGAAATTCCTGCTGATTTATTGTCCAAGGTTGTTCCGAAGGATCAACACTGTACCTATGTACAGAAATTGGGTTTGTACTGAGATTGTACTGACACGCTGCCCAGTGGTGTTCACAGAAAGGGGGAGGATGTTAGTTTCTGTTTCTCACTGTGCAGCTGCTTGGAGTCACAGGACTGTGTTTACATTCCAGGGCTTCCAGACTGTTGGCAGTCTCACGGGAAGGGAGACGGGATGTGACGTTAGTGGTTTCCTCCTTCCTTTGTTCCTTTGTTCCTTTGTTCAGTTGCTCTCTGCTTTCATAGAGAGAGGATGTCTTTTTTGTTCTGCGTAGTTTAGAAATAAAACTCTTTAAAAATGTAGCTCATACGATCTCATCTTTCCCTGCCGGGAACTCTGCTGCTTGAAGAATGTGCTTGGAGCCTTATCAAAGGCTTGAGGTCATTAATTGTTTGTCAGAGGCGGTTTCAAAGGCTCGTTCAAACGGAGCTCCCGACAAGAAATACATTAGAAAACAAAAAGAAAAACCTCCTAGCAATGTTTGATTTGTAACATAGAACGCACTCTCAGGACATTATTCCCAGAATGATCTACATTTTGAGAGGAATTCCAGTTCATTTATCTAGTAAACATTTATGTAAAACGAACTCCTTAATTGATCTTCTTGATCCTCCATTTCTACTAATATTTTATAAATTTCACTGGTTCCCCCTTTTATAACTGTATTTTCTTCTTTATCTCGTGTGAGAAGGCAAATAAATTTAGGACAAAAATAAAAAGCAAGGGGAAAAAAATAATGCTATTATTTTTATTCTACTAAAAGGCCACCACCATTATATTTATTTATACCTCTCACCTTCCTCCAAAGGAGCCCATTTGGTGCTGCCTGCCTCTGAAATGTTCCTTTTCCAGCTGGTCATTATAAGAATCTCCATGCCCAGGAACAGTCTACCTCTGAATACCAGCTGCTGGGGGCACAGAATGGCTGTGGCCCATATGTCCAAGAAAACTTCCCTCACTAGAACGCAATGCTGAATTTGAGGGAACCTTTGTCTAATCCAACAAAGCAAATACGTTTTTATAAGGAACCAGGCACTTTGCATGTGCACAGAGTGTCTTTGCCTTTAGGTCCCTTGAAGAAAAGTTGAATTTCCCAAGGGAAATTTCTCTCTGCAATAATCAACAGTGCTATTACTTTGGGGAAATTGACATCTTGTCACGGCAAACGCACCTTGAGGTATTGCTTGGCGTGAACTTCCTTCCATCCTTTTCATTCTCCTTCCAGGGACCAATCCAGTGCACTGGCAGATGTTCCCAGGAGCACCAGCAAAATCAGAGGGACTGTTGAAACTGCAGACATGTCTTTGTCTGGAAGAGATGGGCAAACAGCACCATCGTCAGGTATTTGTGTTTTTTTTAATATATTTTTTTATTCTTTTTCCATAACAAATTATACATCCAAAACATCTTTTTTTACATCCAAATTCCTCCTTATTGACTTCCCTCCTCCCGCCTGAAAAACCTTCCTAGTACTTACTTTCTCCACATTTCTTAAATTTAATTCACCATATTATTAATTAATTTTTTACAATCTAACAATATTCCTACCTTTTCTCTTCACAGAGCTTCCTTAAAACTTACAAACGTTATCTGATTATCACTTAATTTTTGCATATATTCAGTAAATTTCATCCAATCTTCTGTAAATCTTTGATCACGTTGGTTCTGGATCCTTCCTGTTAGTCTATCGAGTTCCGCATAATCCATCATTTTCATTCTCCATTCTTCAGTCGTAGGTAACTCTTCTTGTTTCCACTTCTGGGCCATCAAAGTTCTTGCTGCTGACACTGCATATAAAAATATCTTCCTATCTTTCTTATCTATCTCATTACCTATTATTCCTAGTAAGAACGCTTCTGGTTTCTTTACAAATGTATATTTCAATACTTTCTTCAATTCATTATAAATCATTTCCCAAAAGTTTTTAACTTTTTTACAGTCCCACCACATATGGTAAAACGTTCCTTCCTTTTCTCTACATTTCCAACATTTATTACTTATCTTATACATCTTTACCGGTTTTACAGGTGTCATATACCATCGATACATCATCTTCATTACATTTTCTTTTATAGCAGTGCACGCCGTAAATCTTATTCCATCTTTCCACAATTTTAACCAATCATCTATTTGTATATTTGTATATTATATCCAAAATCTTTGGCCCAGTCAATCATAACCGATTTTATATTTGTATATAATTTGTATATTATATCCAAAATCTTTGGCCCAGTCAATCATAACCGATTTCACCTCTTCATCCTTTGTATACCATTCCAACAATAATTTATACATTCTTGCTAAACTTTTGAATTCATTATTCAATATTTCTTTCTGAAATTTAGACTCTTTATCAGCAAAACCTCTTTGTAGCATATCTTTCTTAAACATTTCATTAATTTGAAAATAATGCAGCCAATCATTAACATATTCTTTAACCTCTTCAAATGGTCTTATTTTCCATTTACTTCTTTCTCTTTCAATTAACTTCTCATATGTTGCCAACCCCCCCTCATATTAATTTTCTTTACACTCATTGCCTCCAATGGCGATAACCAATATGGAGTTTTTGACTCCAATAAATTTTTATACCTCTCCCAGACTTCTATAAGAGACCTTTGTATTACATGGTTTTCAAAACCTTTATGTACACGTTTCTTGTCATACCACAAATATGCATGCCACCCAAATCTATTATCAAAACCTTCCAAATCTAACAATTCTGTATTTTCTAATTTCATCCATTCCTTCAACCAACAGAGGCATGGCGCTTCATAATATAATTTCAAGTCTGGCAGGGCACAGCCTCCTCTTTCTTTTGCATCTGTCAATAACTTAAACTTTATTCTCTGCTTCTTACCCTGCCAGATATACCTTGAAATTACTCTTTGCCATTCTTTAAAAATTGCTGCCCCTTTGATTATTGGAATTGTTTGAAACAGAAATAGTAATTTCGGTAGCACATTCATCTTAATTTTTGCAATTCTTCCCCAAAATGACAGTTTCATTCTTCCCCACACCTCAACGTCTCTTTTAATCTTGTTCCAAATTAGCGTATAATTATTCTGAAATAAATCAATACTCTTGGGGGTCAACCACACTCCTAAATATTTCACTTTTTAAACTACTTCCATCTCTACTTGTTGCTGCATTTTATCCATTATTTCTTGGTCCATATTTTTGACAATTATTTTTCTTATTCAGTTTGAATCCTGCCACTTGACCAAACTGATCTACCGTATTTTTCGCTCTATAACACGCACCCAACCATAACACGCACGTAGTTTTTAGAGGAGGAAAATCCGTAGGCATGCCACCCGTAGGCATTCCCTCCATAACACGCACAGACATTTCCCCTTACTTTCTAGGAGGAAAAAAGTGAGTGTTATGGTGCAAAAAATATGGTATCTCTTTCAACACTTCTATTACTGAATTTATGGTATCCTCCACAGTAATAACCAAGTCATCGGCAAAAGCCTTGACTTTATATTCCTTACATCCCACTGACACACCTTTTATTTGTTCATTATTTCTTATCGTCTTAAGTAAAACCTCCAGCACTACGATGAATAACAATGGTGAAAGAGGACACCCCTGTCTTGTACCTTTCGTTATTGCAATATTTTCAGTTGTCACATTGTTAACTATTAATTTTGCTCTTTGCTCCGTATATATTGCCTTAATACCATTTAAAAACGTTTGTCCCATGTCCATCATTTCTAGATTCTTTAACATAAATTCCCATGAAATATTATCAAAAGCCTTTTCCGCATCCACAAATATTAACATTGCTTGTTTATCACTCCTGGCAGTCAGACATTCAATTATATTGATTATGTTTCTTATGTTATCTTTCATCTGTCTGCCTGGAAGAAACCCTGCTTGATCCTTATGTATTAATTCTTTTAAAACCTTTTTCATTCTATTTGCTAGTATACTTGCAAATAATTTATAATCATTGTTTAAAAGCGAAATAGGCCTATAATTTTTAACTTGGGACAAATCGGAATCTTGTTTAGGAATAAAAGTTATATAAGCTTCCTTCCACGTATTTCCTTTCTTATTAGTATGTTGTTCATTACTTCTTTCAATGGTGCAAGTAGGGTGTCCTTCATTTCTGTTGGGTTGAAATAAACGACAGACGAATGGCAAGGTGTCATATGGGAGGCATCTCTCGAGCAAGTCTCGGAGAGTCCCTTTTATTGAATATTACAGCATTTGCCACATATGTGCTTATTGCTGATTGGTTAACACAAGTACAAAGCAAAGGTTACATTAATCACCAATAGATTAAAGGTTGGGAAAGGGAGCACAGAACTAGACAGGCATGAAACCTCCTAATTAAATTATAATGATTGATATAGCAAGACTTAAACAATTACTAATGATTGATCATGACATGAAAGAACATAACAATCGCGTTCCGTAAATGTGGTCAACTATGCATTAAGAACAGGTCAGAGTATAATGTTTTCATGAACTCAATATGAACTGAACATTCTAGGGTGGTGAGGGAATGTCTTAGTATTAGTATGGTTTGTGCAGCATACGGTTTGTGCAGCATGTGCAGAAGAAAAGCTTAGAAGCAAAACTTCCCATCATGCCACAGTCATGTGCAGAAGCAAAGCTTCCCTTCATCTCCCCCTTTCTTTTCTTATTTGCGAGGTGTTCTGGGTGAATAAGACAAAAATACTTCGGGATACGTGGTATGCCAGCGCGTGCCCGAAATAAGTTCGCCAGGGTTGACGGGACAGAAATACTTCGGGATACGTGGTATGCCAGCGCATGCCCGAAATAAGTCTGCCCACATCTCCCCTAATGTTTACTGCTGGTGCTGCCACTTCGCAAAGTAGGCAGCAATGATTTTATTGGGTGGCTGAGGGGGAGAGAGAAGCCGAGACAAAAGACTTATGAGTCCAGGAATGCATTGGAGGAAGCAACATAGCAAAATTAATATACATATTATGACAATGGCATATTGAAAGAGATTACGAAGCCAGTTCAGGTTTGGCAACCAACCGGTGAGCCACTGGGTGAATGAATCCCAGAGGCCAGAAAATCCAACGTCCTGTTTAATGTGGTGTGTAAGATTTTGCAAATGAGAGATTTGGCTTTGAATGGCTTTAGAATTATCAGTAATATTGAAACAACACATGTCATCCACTTGTTCACAGCCATAATGATGAAGCATCAATAAATAATCGATAGCAGTGCGGTTTTGCAGAAGACCATGCTGGAGTTCACTCTGTTCTTTATTTAAAAGGTGAAGAGCTTGAGAGGTAAAATTCAGGGCTTTTGCTGCAGAACAAGCTAAAGAATTAATGGTCATACGATTCCGTACAGCCAATCCAGGGACTCCTAAGAGAGAAACAGCTAAAGAAATATATTCAGACCTACTGGGAAGAGAGACAAAAGCATCACAATCATTAGTCAATTCAATAGAGCGGCGATATCGAGAGCGAGACAGATGATGCTTTTTGGGTAATATGATCGACAAACGGCTTAAGCAACAGGGTGTGCCATGGCTGATGTATTGTTGGCACATGGTAGGGGAATTCAGCATTCCTTGCGGTAGGACTTTCCATTGATACCGTTCCGTGGGCTGGCTGTTATTTAACACAGGAACAGTGAAAACAAAGAATTTACGATCCTTCTCCTGTAGGGGGATGGAGAAGAAACAATCTTGCAAATCTATGATAGCCAATTGATAAGAATGTGGGATTACATTTGGATTAGGCAGACCACACTGCAAAGGCCCCATGGGTTCAAGGATTTCATTAATTTTCCTTAAATCCTGGAGAAATCTCCATTTCCCACTCTTCTTTTTTATGACGAAGATGGGATATTATAGGGGCTAACTGAAGACTCTATATGGTCTGCCGATAATTGTTGATTCACCAGTTCTTTTAAAGCAAGTAGCTTTTCCCCTGTCATGGGCCATTGTTCTACCCATACCGGGGTGGTTGACTTCCAATTGAGGGGAAGTGCAAGCTTACTCATTTAATTGAATGGTAGCTTGTAATTGTTGTAGTAAGTCTCTGCCCCACAGATTGAGGTGGATTTTCAGCACACAGGGCTGGATATATGCAATGGTTTCAGAGCTATCAGGCAGAGAAACAGGCAGCCACTGTACGCTTTTGGAAGAGGTTTGAGGTCCACCTACACCCCAAACTGCAGAGGCAGACTCAAGGGGCCACGTGGGGTCCTAGCAACTACTGGAAATTACAGAAATGTCTGCGCCCGTGTCAATCAAGCCTTCCAGAACTGTACCATTGATTTTATACTTACGAAGAAGCTTCTGTTCACCAGTCCGCTGGATTACAGCTAACAGCTGTGGGGGAAAAGGAGAGAGCTCGTGCAAATTACTATCCATAATAGAAACAGTAGGGTGAGAAGGGAGCACCACCAAATGTGCCCAGGACTCACCCTTCTTTAACTGCATGGGCATATGGCTCCAAAGTTGAACCATTATTGTGCCCACATAGTCAGGATCCAGGACTCCTGGAATAACCTGGATTCCTTCTTTGGCTGCAGAAAATTTGGGTAAAATTAAACCTGAGACTTTAAGTGGTAGTGGGCCCGTCAATTGGGTGGGCATAAGCACAATTTCACCAGGTAAAACAGTGTCTTTGGTTTCTTGATTGATTAAGTCGATGGTAAAATCAGAGCGTGTATCCTTTGAGAAGGTTTTAATAGTGGAGACTAACGGCGGAGGGCTCTCTATTTGTCCTGGCCCAAGAGCTGGGCCACCATGGAGTTTCCCGAACTCCTGCACTGATTTGCCCAATGATAGCCTTTACCGCATTTCGGGCATTTCTTGGAAGGCTTAGCCTTATGGGCTTTACCATTCCTGTTTGCACCCCCGCCAGGGGCTCTGCATTGTTTAGCAAAATGACCTGGGTGTTTGCAATTGAAGCAATTGCCCGTGGGCTTATTGCCAGCCTGGATGGCACCGGCAAGCAAAGACATCGCATGACTCTGGCTGCCAACATCTGCACAGGCTTGAATCATATCGGCCAGGTCATATTTAGGGCGATGTATGATCGACTGCAACACCTTCTTGCAATCAGTGTTTGCATTTTCAAAAGCCAATTTTTTCATCAATTCATTCTGAGCTGTAGTGTTATCAATCTGCCTAGTCACTGATTCTTTCAATCTATCTATAAATTGATGGTAGGGCTCCGAATGTTGTTGCTTAATATTAACAAAGGAGCTAAGCGGTTGCCCTGAGACAGGGACTTTGCGAAAGGCGCATTGCACACAGGTCGCGGTGCGACTAAAATGTAAAGGTGTCAATTGCGCCTGGGCTGGTATATTATCATACGGACCAGCACCAAAGAGTTGGTTGGCTGAATGCTGTGGATCAGCCAGGGCTACTGCGCAATGCTTAAATTCACTTTCAAAAACCACATACTGAGCCGGGGATAAAAGCATGCGCATCAGATCTTTCCAATCTTGAGGTAGCATTGTATAACCAGTTGCTATTCCCTCCAGCATCCCTACCACATAAGAGGATTTCAGGCCAGAATCAGTAATGGCTTTCCTTAATTCTCTCAGAATAGAATAAGGAAGCATCTCATACATAATTTGTTGTTCCGCAGTGCCAGGGTTAGTATAGGAGATAGGGAAGGCAGACGGCATTTCCCCCGCCCACCCAGCCTCCTCCTCCAAGGAGAGAATTCCTTTCTGTCTAGCTTGAAAAAGTGCAGCACGCACAGCTCCTGTAGGAGAGCACGCAGGGGCTGAGGCAGGTGAAGGAGGGAGGGAAGGGGGGATGGGGGGTGGATGTGGGCTGAGGCGTAGGGGGGTAGGGAAGGTTGTGATGGAGGCAAAAGCTTTGGGTAAGGTGGGGGATTGTCTGCAGCGGCTAGAAGGGCAGGGGCCGACGGAGATGCCTGAGATATCTGAGGTCCTAATTTAGCGACGGCATCTGCACATTTCTGCCAAGTAAGCAGACAATGAATCGGAGCCCTCGGTTCTGCGAAGAGGGTTTTTCTGATCTTTTGCCAAGTCTCTATCCCCAAAGACCCCGTTTCCGGGTACCAGGGGCATTTGCAAGCAATCTGACATAACAATCGTTCAATTTCTTTTAAAGAAATATGCGCACCTGCCACTCTCTGTCTGACTAAATGAAGCAGCTCCTTGGCATGCTCTTTTTGGAACCTTGTAAGCTCCCCCCCCCCCATACTCACGAAGTAGCGCGCTGAGACTTTTCCAGTCGAGTGAAGTATCGAGGCTGCGTAAAGGGATCTGGCACGTCGAGGGTCACCAGATGTTGGGTTGAAATAAACGACAGACAAATGGCAAGGTGTCATATGGGAGGCATCTCTCGAGCAAGTCTCGGAGAGTCCCTTTTATTGAATATTACAGCATTTGCCACATATGTGCTTATTGCTGATTGGTTAACACAAGTACAAAGCAAAGGTTACATTAATCACCAATAGATTAAAGGTTGGGAAAGGGAGCACAGAACTAGACAGGCATGAAACCTCCTAATTAAATTATAATGATTGATATAGCAAGACTTAAACAATTACTAATGATTGATCATGACATGAAAGAACATAACAACCGCGTTCCGTAAATGTGGTCAACTATGCATTAAGAACAGGTCAGAGTATAATGTTTTCATGAACTCAATATGAACTGAACATTCTAGGGTGGTGAGGGAATGTCTTAGTATTAGTACGGTTTGTGCAGCATACGGTTTGTGCAGCATGTGCAGAAGAAAAGCTTAGAAGCAAAACTTCCCATCATGCCACAGTCATGTGCAGAAGCAAAGCTTCCCTTCACATTTCTTTATAAAATCTCGTGCTAAAGCCATCCGGTCCTGGTGTTTTTCCACTTTTCAATTCTTTAATCGCACAATTTATTTCCTCTATCTCAATCATCTCGTTTAATTTATTCTTTTTTTCCGTCGGAATTTTCTGCACTCCTTTTTCTTTTAAAAAATCTTCAATTTTTTTTCTTATTTACTTTTTCTTTTCTTTTATACAGTTGTCTATAGAAATCCACAAATCCTTTTCTAATTCCTTTCGGATCTTCAAACTCTTGATCTTCTACTATAATTTTTTGTATAGTATTTTACTCTTTCCTCTTTTTAATCTGCCAGGCCAGAGGTTTTCCTGATTTATTTGCATACTCAAAGTTCCTCTGCTTCATTTTTTTTTTAAATGATATTTATTAAAGTTTCACATAGAAAAAGAGACATCAATAAAAAAAGAATTTAAAAATAAAACGAAGAATACACAGTACAAAATACAAAGAGGAAAAAAAGAAAAAAGAAACAGTTAAAAAACAGTTAAAAACAATTCCATCTTTTGATCACTACTTTTAAATTTACTTATTTTCTGGACCTCCTCATACCTCCCTCTTTTGTATTCCAATTCATTTGTTTGTCCAGCAATTCCTTTTCTTTTTACCTTTTTAATCCTAATCATTAATATTAATCTGTATATAACTTTAAAGCCTGTACAGCTAGAAACCGCTTAATTTCAATCCATCATCACTCTAACATTCTTTAATTTTGCAGTATTTCTGTAGGTAATCTTTAAATTTCTTCCAATCTTCTTCCACCGACTCTTCTCCCTGGTCACGGATTCTGCCAGTCATTTCCGCCAATTCCATATAGTCCATCAATTTCATCTGCCATTCCTCCAGTGTGGGTAGCTCTTGTGTCTTCCAATACTTTGCGATAAGTATTCTTGCTGCTGTTGTTGCATACATAAAGAAAGTTCTATCCTTTTTTAACACCGATTGGCCGACTATGCCCAGGAGGAAGGCCTCTGGTTTCTTCAAGAAGGTATATTTAAATACCTTTTTTAATTCATTCTATATCATTTCCCAGAAAGCCTTAATCTTTGGGCACGTCCACCAAAGGTGAAAAAATGTACCTTCAATTTCCTTACATTTCCAACATTTATTATCAGGCAAATGGTAAATTTTTGCAAGCTTGACTGGGGTTATGTACCACCTGTATATCATTTTCATAATATTCTCTCTTAAGGCATTACATGCCGTAAATTTCATACCTGTGGTCCATAACTGTTCCCAGTCAGCGAACATAATGTTGTGTCCAACGTCTTGTGCCCATTTAATCATAGCAGATTTCACCGTTTCATCCTGAGTGTTCCATTTCAGCAGCAAGTTATACATTCTTGACAAATTCTTAGTTTTGGGTTCTAACAGTTCAGTTTCTAATTTTGATTTTTCCACCTGGAAGCCAATTTTCTTGTCCAAATTGAATGCCTCCATTATCTGAAAATAATGAAGCCAGTCTCGCACTTTGTTTTTTAATTTTTCAAAACTCTGCAATTTCAGTCTATCTCCATCTTGTTCCAAAATTTCCCAATATTTCGGCCATTTGACCTCCATATTGAGCTTTTTCAAGGCTTTCGCTTCCATTGGTGACAGCCACCTTGGAGTTTTGTTTTCCAATAAATCCTTATATCTTATCCAAACATTAAACAGTGCTTTCCTGACAATGTGATTTTTAAATGCTTTATGTGCTTTGACCTTATCATACCACAGATATGCATGCCATCCAAATACATTGTTAAAACCTTCTAGATCCAAAATGTCAGTGTTTTCAAGAAGCAGCCATTCTTTCAACCAGCAAAAGCTGCTGATTCGTAATAAAGTTTGAGGTCTGGCAGGGCAAATCCACCTCTTTCCTTTGCATCCGTTAGTATTTTAAATTTTATTCTGGGCTTCTTGCCCTGCCAGACAAATCTAGAAATATCTTTCTGCCACCTCTTGAAACAATCCATTTTGTCCACAATTTGCAAAGTTTGGAACAAAAACAACATTCTAGGCAATACATTCATTTTTATCGCAGCAATATGGCCCAGCAGTGAAAGCTTCAAATTTGACCAAATTTCTAAATCTTTTTTCACTTCAGCCCAACATTTTTCATAGTTATCTTTAAATAAATTCCCATTTTTTGCTGTCATGTTGATCCCCAGATATTTGACTTTCTTAACCACTGTTAAACCTATCACATTCTGAAACCTCTTTCTCTCCATTGGTGTTAGATTTTTCTCTAAAACCTTAGTTTTTAACTTGTTCAATTTAAATCCTGCAACTTGACCAAATTCTTGAATCAGTTCTAAAAGCCTTTTAGTACTAGATTCTGGCTCCTGTAACGTCAGTACTAAATCATCTGCAAATGCTCTCAATTTGTACTGTTTAGCTCCGACCTGTATACCTTTAACCAACTGGTCCCTTCTTATCATATTCAGCAAAACCTCCAGGACCAAAATAAAAAGTAGTGGGGAAATTGGGCAACCTTGTCGTGTCCCTTTTTCTATTTTAAATTCTTCCGTCACCACATTATTTACATTTAATTTAGCCTTTTGTTCTGAATAAATTGCACTTATACCATTCTCAGAGCCTTGGCCTACCCCCATACCCTGAAGATTCTTCTTCATAAAGCTCCAAGAAATATTGTCAAAAGCTTTCTCAGCGTCCACAAATATCAAAACTGCTTTAGTATTTATATTCACTTCTAGTTTTTCCAGAATATCAATTATATTCCTCAAATTGTCAGACAAATGTCTTCCTGGGAGAAAGCCCGCTTGATCTTTATGAATCTCTTCCATCAACACTTTTTTAAATCTCTTAGCCAAGATATCTGCAAAAATTCTGTAATCCACATTGAGTAATGATATGGGGCGGTAGTTCTTAAGCTGTGTCTTTTCAGTCTCTGTTTTCGGTACAAGTGTAATATATGCTTCTTTCCACGACTCTGGTGCTCTTTTCCCCTCCATTATTTCATTGCAGACCTCTTTCAAAGGTTGTATTAACCATTCTTTCAAGGATCTGTAATATCTAGAAGTCAATCCATCCGGTCCTGGAGACTTACACAATTGCATATTTTGGATGGCACCTTCTATCTCCTGTTCAGTTATTTTATAGTTCAACATTAGTTTATTTTCTTGAGAGATTTTTTGTAATCCATTTGTTTTCAAAAATTGATCTAGATCAGTTTTTTTCAATGGCCCTTGTGTATATAGTTGTTTAAAGTACCTCTGGAAGCAATTTCTAATCTCTGCTGGGTTCTGTATATTCCTTCCTTCCACTTCTAAGTTTGTGACTGTATTTAATTTTTGTCTTTTTTTCATTTGCCAAGCCAACAGTTTACCACATTTGTTAGCCGACTCAAATGTCTTTTGTCTCATTTGTTTAATTTTCCATTCTATTTCCTGATTCATCATTTTCATATATTGTACTTGATATAACTTTAATTCTCTCAAAATCTCTTGAGATTTTGGATTTGTTCTCAATCTTTTTTCACTTTCCTTTATTTTCTCCAATATCTTATCCTTCTTCTCATTTTGAATTCTCTTCTTTACTGCATTCTGTTGTATCAAGAACCCTCTCATAACCGCTTTACTTGCGTCCCAGATTACTCTTTTTTCCACATTGGTGCTCAAATTTATCTCAAAATAGTCTCTCAAGGTTTTTTGGGCCTTCTTAAACACTTCTTCATCTCTAAATAAGGTGTCATTCATCCTCCATCTAAAGGAGCCAGTTGGTGTTAGTTTCATTTCCATCTTGACAGCATTATGGTCAGAGCAAGTTTTCGGGCAGATTTCCACCTTTCTTGTCTTTGGTGCCATTCCTCTAGTTATCCATATTTG